TGCTTTTTAGCAGAAACAAACAGCCCCTTAAAAATGATTAAAAAATGATTAAAAACAAATTCATTTTATGCATAATTAATTTGTAAAATGAATTTGTGTGACATCATAAATAAGATTCATGTTAAGTACATTCTTTTGCATATAGGTGGGAATGAATGAAACCACTTATCGACGAAGAGAAATTCATAAATTAAGTAGAGTTACAGACTTATAGTGGATATCTTGGGCACATTCCAAATTACTTACATCTGAAGTTAACATGAAAATGTAAATCTCATAGTAAATTTAATTATACGAGATGTGGTTGAGACCATTTCAGTTGTGAGTAAAAACATGAGTAGACTTGAAATTCATTTATCAGACATATCAATATCAAAGAGTCAGGTCTCATGGGTTTTATGACTTGTAGTTACACGATTGGAGGCTGTGTTGATTGAGGATAAATAAAGGACTGTCAACTTAGATGCTTGAAACATGTTTTGCATAGATTTAACGAAACTCCCATTCATAAGAGTGAAGTTTTCTCGGTCAAACAAGTGAGAATAGGGAAGGGTAGACCATAACTAATTTGGCATGTTGTAGTTGCTTAAATCTTCCAATAGATCTGGAATTGAACCGAACGTGTAAAAGGATCCATGTAATTGACTTCGGCTTAGCCCTTGGCTACCGACTGATCCTCTTGCCTACAACCTTAGGTCCAATCAGTGCATTCCCTATACTATTAGTTAAATGTAGTGCCCCCTCCCCCCTCTCCTTGCTTCACTAACTACCTTTGAGCATGACTCTTAAGGGCTCTACCTAGCCGACCTCAATTTGTTGGAAGGATACTTAGTAAGTATAGCCCGTTTGATATCTAGATTTTAATCTAAGTCAAAGTCAACAATTCATTTCAACCACTTATTTTATGGTCCCACAACTTTTCAACCATACATTTCTCCCACTTCTATCAAAATTCATTAAAAATTTGATTTTGATCCCCACCAAACCTTAGCTTAATGTTTTTCTTTATTTAGATATGAACTCAAGCCTCTGTGCTCACTTGCCCCTTATGAGTTTCCTCCGTT